TTGATGATCCTGGAATATATAGACGGTTAGTGGGGAAGCTGAACTATCTGACTATCACAAGACCAAACATCTCCTTTTTGTCAGTGTGGTGAGCCAATTTATGCAGAATCCCCAGATACCTCGTTGGGATGCAGTTCTTAGGATTGTAAGGTACCTGAATGGAGCTCCAGGCTGTGGATTATTGTACAAACTAGGAGAAAGACTTGATGTAGTTGGGTATATAGATGCAGATTGGGCAAGTTCAGTGTTAGAAGATCTACTACATGTTACTGCACATTTCTTGGAGGAAATCTGGTGACATGGAAGGGTAAGAAGCAGACTGTTGTGAAGGAGTAGTGCTTAAGCCGAATACAGAGCCATGGCACACACTACATGTGAATTAGTATGGCTGAGAAATCTCCTACAAGAAATTGAATTCTCAATGGACAGACCTATGAGATTGTACTGTGATAATCAAGCTGCAATTCACATCTCATATAATCCTGTTTTTCATGAGAGAACAAAGCACATAGAGATTGATTGCCACTTTCTGAGGGAGAAAGTCCTTATTGGAGAGATAAGCATAGAACATGTGGGCTCAGGTGATCAGTGGGCAGATTTGTTTACAAAGGTTTGAGCTCAGGGAGAGTGAACTATATATGTAACAAGTTGGGATTATATGACATATATTCTCCAACTTGAGGGGGAGTGTTAAAGTTAGCCGAATAAGGGTAGATTAGTCTTTTCATTCTATTTAAGTTATATGCTTATGTGGAAGTTCTAATATTACTTATGTAGACTTCCTATCCCATACTTAAGTGGGGGCAGTTTAGTCATTGTACACTAATTAGAACCCCTAATCCATATTATGGTCAGCTGGTAGGGTTTAGGCTACCAAGTTCGACTTCTACTGAAATAACATACCCTAATCTGATCAAACCCCAATATGAGATAGATAAGATCAATTTTGAATCCAATATTAATGACCAAACTCAGATCCTAGTATATCAAATTGATAATACATTCCTCGTGCAAATATCATCCTAGTTAATCCAGTTTTTTCATCATTTTCCTAATAAATCAGTTGCTGTCAGGTTTCTTCCAAACAATTGGCCATAGAATACAATCTTAGAGGATAAAGACCTAGAAGAAATTGGTTTTATTGGTGTAACCTTTATTTCATTGTTTCCTACAGTCTAACACCCCTTAATATTGCAAAACACTACATCTAAATGAATGCACATGTCTGGTGTTGTGCTGTGTTTTGTCATGCATTTATGCTTTCTATCTTATTAAAGGATTCACTAGTCACCTTGTCATGAACTTCAATTTAATGTGATTTGGTCTAATTTTTCATATATGCCTTTCCAAAGTTGGTTTAGTCTGTAATATAATTCTTGAATTGTTATAAAATCTGTTGAGCTTTTCTCTAGTGTTTTCCCATACTAATCTGAAGAATTGTGTTGAAAAATATGGTTTGGCATGTAAAGACTAAGGAACACAAGCTTATACACTCGCCAAAGTTGCATGGAAGTCCAGAATCTAAAGGGCAGAAAGCATACAAAATATTATTGGCATTTTCAGGTTTGAAACATGCTTTGCCAAATAACCCTGGATATAATCGGCGAGTTGCAGAGTGCCAAGAAGCCGCTAGGATTCTTTTAGAGTAAGATTTTTTCCCTTGTCATTGTGCATGTAAACAATATTTTCATTGGCAGTCTGATTTAGTTTCGTGCTGGTTTCTGATTAGAAGAAATGTTGTAAAACAATTAGAATTCTGGATATCTACCTACTCTAATTTCTTGGATACTCCCATCCATTAATTTATTATTTTCTGTTGAGGAGATAATAGATCTTCCTCCTCATCATCATCATCCAAACATTATACCAACTATATGGGGTTGACAACATAAATCCTGTTTATCTATTCTGTTCTGTTTAATGACATATCCATTGTTAAATTATGGGCACATAAATCATTTCTAACTACTTTGACCCATGTCCTTTTTCATCTACCCCTAGCCCTTTTAGCCCCTTCAACTTGCAACAGATCAATTCCTTTTACAGGTGTTAGCGATTATATCTGTGGACTCTTTTATAACATGAGTTATCATTTTGTGCTAATGCTAGGGCATTGCTCAAAAGCAACATGTTACACCTAGACCCAGGTGTGGTGAAAAATGGGCAAGGGTATGCTAGAGTGTTCCATGGAAGTGACACACCAGAACATAGCCCCAAAGAGACAACCTTGGCATTGTCAATTGAACCCAGAAGCCAAGTGACAACCTTGGCATTTTCAATTGAACTCAGAAGCCAAGAGACAACCTTGGCATTGTCAATTGAACCCAGAAGCCAAGAGACAACCTTGGCATTTATCACTCTTCCATTGCTTCAGCCCCTTCAAATCTGATTCATCAGGTTGGTTAGTTGTTCCATCAACATAGCGACAATCCCTCAATAAAGAACTGGAAGTGGAACTTCCGAAAAGCATCGTTGGTCCCATCAAATTTTACAAGCAGAATATCTCTTTTCTCCAAAACCATTTCAGCAATATAACACCAAGTAAAAGCCAAGAAAGTGATTTCTTCATAATAAAACGAGAGAAACAAGGCAATCACCCCATTAAAGAGACAAACCAGCGCCACAGAGATCAATTTCCAATCAGAAAACACAGCCAAAAATGATCTGAACAGGTAACAGTCCATAAAAGGCAAGTTTATTGGCTGTCGTTAGAAAAAGCTCGCTTCAACTTCTCAAAAGCCTACCTATCATTATATATAATAATAGAAAAAATACCTGAACTTGTTTAATGTCAATTTCTAATTTGCTTCTTCTTCCATGTTTGCAGTGCTTCTGGAAATGGAGACCTGGAGCCCCTTCTTTGCTATGGTCAATGCTTTGATCTAAAACTCTTTTACATATTTGAACTAGAATAGTTTTCATATATTGATTTATTTACATTGTCTTTGTCAAAACAGTTGAACCAGCAGCTTTTGAAGCTCACAAGGTATTCCTACTTATCATTCTAATGTTTTTTAAAGAGTTTGCCTTCTTTTATCCAAGACAATTTGTTGAAATTTCATTAGATTTAAGTGGATTCATAACATTTGAAGTCCAGTCCAATGTTCTAAGTATGTTTTTCTTTGCTTTTCTTTCATAGCATGTTTTTCTTTGCTTTGCTTTCATTCTATCTTATTTAACAAGTCCCAAAATGATTGTACAATGTATTGTTTACCATGTTGGATACTTCAATTTTAATGTGAAGTCCATATCTGACACCTTGTCTAGCCATGTCCATCCCCTAGTATGGATAACATATATGAAAATGTTTTCTGAGAAAAGATTGATGTATTATTTTGATGTTTATCATGTAGTTTATAAATATTTATTGCAACTTTCACTTTCTATTTAGCCCCTTCTAGGTGTATTCTAGCAATTGTACTTTTATTAATATAGTACAAAGATTGGGTGATTGTTTTCCACCTAGAAACAGCAGGAAATAGAAGAGAGGAGGGGGAAGAGAGGAGAAGAGAAGAGAAAAAGTGGAGAGCCATAAAAGCTGGTCTGGCTGTGCCCAGTTTGTTATTTATGGTGGGGCATTAAAATAAAAGGGTAAATTATAGTGGTGCCCCTGGTGGCACACTCTAATATAAAAAATAAAAACAATAGTGTACTAACAACGCTCCCCCTTAAGTTGGGTTGTATATGTCACCCCCTTAAGTTGGGTTGTATATGTCAATCATGTCCAACTTGTCACATAATTCATTCCACCACAACCATTGAAGCCCCTCTGTGAGAATGTCAGCAAGTTGTTCCTTTCAAATGACACAAGTTTAGGGCTGATCATAGTTGATCATCACTTTTTTTTCTTTGCTTCTTCACATAGTTCGTTTAATTCTTTTTAGGAACTCTGGCATTGCAAACTTGGTCATCAACATGTTGATACATTGAATTTTGTCATTAATTTTGGTCTTTCGAAAAGAAAATTGCCACCAATTCAAATTTTTGATAAGTCTTCTATTACTTGTTTATTGAGTAAGAGTACAATTTTACCTTTTCTTGTTAAATCTACAAGATCATTGGGTCCTTTTGATATTGTTCATAGTGATGTTTGGGACCTTTCCCTATTTTTTTCAAGATTGGGCTTCAAATATTTTGTGTCGTTCTTTGATGATTGTACCATATATACATGGATATATTGTATTTCGCAAGAAAAGTGAAGCTTTTCCTTATTTTAAGATTTTGGATTGTGATTGCGACACAATTTTCTACTAACATCAAAATTCTTTACACTAATTCAAGAGGAGAGTATTTGGATGGTTAGCTTCAGGATTACTTGAACTCTTTAGGTATTCTCTCTTAATGGTCATCCCCTAGAACCCCATAAAAAATGGTATTGTTGATTGAAAGAATTGACATATTCTTGAGATGACTAGATCCCTTCTTTAGGATTCTAGTGCTCCTATCTTTTGGGTCAAAGCTGTCTCCACTTTAATTTATCTTATCAATCATTGTCCAACTCTGGTAATGTAACGCTTCTCCCTTCCAATATCTCTATCATTGTTCTCCTAACTTCTCATAGTTGCATTTCTTTGTTTGTGTTTGTAATGTACGCCTTCCTCATGAATGTATCAAGTTATCATTTTAATCTGTCTTTTGTGTATGTGTGGTTGTAGGTCTGATCATAAGGGATTCCTTTGTTACGACCCTTGGTTTTTCTGTATTAAAGTCTCCAACAAAGTTTTTTTTTTTTTTCTGAAAAACTGTTTCTTATTTTGGGCAAATATCCAAGTCATCAAGCATGTCTCTAATTACTTTGTAAGACCTTGGTGTTTCTAACTCTCTTATCTTCCCTGTGTTTCTGTAGCTACAATTCGAATCATAAGGTATTCCTTTGTTATGACTATCGGCTTCCTCTTCAACACCACCCACTGAATAATCTTCCTTCCTCCTTTTTGCATACAAGTACCACTACCCCATCGGCTAGTACCTCTTATATCATTGTTCTCATGTTTCCTAGCTTCTTGAATCTTGACCATTACGGGTTTCCTACAGTTCATAGCTCCTTTTCTAATTTCTACTATTCTTGATGATATAGATGCACTTATCAGAAAACCCTTACAATTCCTTGTTGAAAATCTGCTGGGGAAATTGAAATGCAAGCCTTGCTTGAAAATGATACTTGGTGTATGGTGCCTCTATTGGTTGATACAAAGCCTAGCTGATTGCTCAATGATTGAATGCTTTCATTTAAAGAAGTCTCTTTATGGCCTCAAGCAAACACCTTGGGCATGGATTGAATGCTTTCACCAAGTGCTTGTGATAGGCTGGTTAGACTCAAAGTTCTTATAACTCATTGTTTATTTATCAATGCACTCAGGATACAACTCTCTTATTGGTTTGTGTAGGTGATATTCTTATCATTAGTGATGATACTCAAGGTGTGGATCAACTCAAAAAATTCTTTCAAAATGAAAGATCTTGGCCTTCATACCTACTTTTTTGTATAGAAGGTTCATTCTTCACCTCATGGATACCTTGTGAATCAACAGAAGTATACCATGGATCTTATTCATCTTAGCACACTAATTCCAAACTGGTGGATACCCCCATGGAGCTAAATGTGAAATGTTCTTATGATGAAGGGCAGCTTCTCAAGGATCCTTCTTCATATCATCAGCCTGTTGGCTGCTTGGTTTACCTCACCATGACCTGACCAAACATCACTCAAGCTGTTCAAATTGTTAGTTCATATCTTCTCTTAACTAACCTCACTTACTCAACTATACATTATCTTAATGTCCCCATTATAGGAGTTTATTCTTTTCTTCTGCCAAGGTTCGTCTTTATGCTTACTTTGATGCTAACTGGGCTAGCTACCCAAATACTCATCAGTCTACCACTAGTTGGTGTGTTTTCCTAGGTGAAATTGTAGTGAAATTGTATGGTTATGGGGTTTACTTAAACATCTTCACTTTCCTTTTTCTGCTCGTACACCTCTTTATGCAGATAACTTCAGTGTTATTTGTATTGCCTCTAACCCAGTTGTCCATGAACATGCACATTGAAGTGGGTTGCCATTTTGTCCAAGATCATCTCCTTGCTGGCAGTATCTCTATGCCTCCTCGTGTCTCATCAAATCTTCAATTTGCCAACATCTTCACTAAGGCTACTACTGCTTGCAGCACAACTTTCTTGTGACCGAATCAGTTTTTGGGGGAGCATGGACTGATGTGTACATAACCTAAATTATTGATACTTTGTTTCCTAGGTGTCCTATGGTTATGTGATAGAATGGATTCTCCCATATTCTTTATTTCTTTATTTTGTAAATGTACAATGATTCAAGGGCAATATTGTAAATGTACATATTCTTGTCTTAATAAAATATACTCTTTGGGAATGGTAGTGTTTATTTGAATGCACCCCCTGAACTCATCTTCTCCTATTTCTTTGTTTATGGCTGAAACCCTAGATTACAAGATGTGCTCTTATTACCAGCTGATTTGTGCTTTGTAGTCATCAAAGCTATTATCCCTCTTTGGCAACTGCATCATATCAGATCATCTTCTCTCTTCCCCCTCAACTAAACAAATAAGAAGCTGGGAAACTCAAATATCAGCACATAGAATATTTGACCAACCCTCAACTTCTCCTTTATGAAATGCCAATCAATCAACCATAGTGTGTTTCACATGATTATGTTGGACAAGGTTATGTGCTATTACTAATCACAGCCTCCTTAATATAAACCTGTAGGCCCTAGAATTTATTGTAATGCTTCAACAGCAGTTTATTATATCGAGTTAGCTTTCTTCATATGATGAAGTATGAAGCATATCAATTTATATGCCAATTGGGGGTCTGATAAACAGCTTTCTAACACAAAATTTTTAATGCCAATAAAATTGATTTCAATCATGAGCCTCATGCAGCTTTAGAATTAATTTTTACTTATCCACTTTCTTCTTTTTCATTTTACAGTGTACACTAGAATCTAATCTTCTTAGAAGAGCAGAGCATTATTTCTCAGAAAATATGCGGGTGGCTAAAGGTACCAAAGTTTCAGCACACTATTATTAATTGTTTATGAGGTTAGAATAAATCCTATGTACAAATCTGTGCATTAGAAAAATATAATGAAGTTTCTCTGAGATCTTAATTAGTTTATGAATTATTGTCTAGTCATTTATGTGTAATGGAACTGATTTGTAATGATTTGTAATGGAACTGATTTGTAATGATTTAAAAATCTCAGGACTTGAGGCATGGGCTTCTGGTAATTTGGACGATTTTGGAAAACTCATCTCTGCTTCTGGTTTAAGCTCCATTCAGAACTATGAGTGTGGTAATATCTGAGTTACTATTTTACCTCATTTCTCCTTTCCCATCTTAAAGAGAAGAATTACCTTCTCTTTTGTACTTTATTGAAACGTGAAAAGGGTACTAGAAAAATCTATTCTCTTCAAACTATCAAATAGAAGGGGCCATTTTTTCTCTTTTCCTGATTGAGATTGCTTATTTGATTATAGTTTATTCAATAAAAATCCAATACTCTTAGTGGGCATCCTAAAATAGCATGAATGAGTGCATGGAGTGGCCACAACATACCTAAAATAGCATCCTTTTTCTCAGTGGCGATATGTAACCAATGTAATGAAGGGAAGGCTTGTCTCTTTTACATCATATTGCTACTCTCATATAAATAAGGAAAGTGGGGGACATTACTTGTATAATGGTAAAATGCCCCGGAAGATAGATTATTACGAGCCATACTTGGCATTCAAGTWTCCACTTCAAAAGAAACTTGTCTAAAACTACCTATAGGTGGMAGGGGTCGAGTTATTGATGTGAGATGGATCCAGAAAAAGGGGGGTTCAGTTATATAATCCAGAAACGATTCATGTATATATTTCACATAAACGTGAAATCAGAGTAGGTGATAAAGTAGCTGGAAGACATGGGAATAAAGGTATCATTTCAAAARTTTTGCCTAGACAAGATATGCCTTATTTGCAAGATGGAACACCTGTTGATATGGTTTTCAACCCATTAGGAGTACCTTCACGAATGAATGTAGGACAGATATTTGAATGCTCACTTGGGTTAGCGGGGGATCTTCTAGACAGACATTATCGAATAGMACCCTTTGATGAGAGATATGAACAAGAGGCTTCAAGAAAACTAGTGTTTTCTGAATCATATGAAGCCAGTAAGCAAACAGMGAATCCATGGGTATTTGAACCTGAGTATCCGGGAAAAAGCAGAATATTTGATGGAAGAATGGGAGATCCTTTTGAACAATCTGTTATAATAGGAAAGTCCTATATCCTAAAATTAATTCATCAAGTGGATGATTCCAGTGGGCATCAGGATGTCAAGCATGAGAGAACAGGTTTAAGTCTGAGAGTGGCCACTTTGTCCATAAAGAACATCAAAGTTTGGGACTATATCCAATCCACCCCTCCCAAGACCCCAGATAGCTGGAACCAACATTGGTAATGGCCTATAATGGCCTCTACTCTTTTTTCTATCTCTCTTCTCTCTTCTATTGTCTACCATAACTACCCTATTTTTCTACTTTGTATCAGAGCAGATACAGATACAAACTGGGTTCATTTCAAAGCATAGGGAACAAGGTAGATTACTAACATCATAGTCCATACAGAATTACAGATGATGTCAGTAACTGTATGGAGTCTATGGACGTGATTAACCTAGGTGGAGGGATGTGGAAAGTTTCTCATTTAGGGCTCACGATGATCAGAGCATAGGAGCTATTTTTTTAAGATTGTTTTTGTGAAAACAAATGCTGAAAAATCATTTTCTAACTTACAGATCAGTTTCCTCAATCTGATATGTTTTTTTGGATGTACTTTTGCATTGGCTGGTGAGCAATATAATTTGGATTGTGGTAGATTTGGTCTCAGAATTTTCTGGTGTGTCAAAAATATTTTCTGATATTTATTAGGGTTATATTTGGCACCATTTGATAGGGGTGCTCACAGTTTGGTTAACCAAACGAGTACCACCAGTTTACAACATATATTATAAATAAATAGATAAATATAATTTACATACTATAAATATATATAATATCATATATTATAAATATATAATATCATATATTATAAATAATATATAATATATTGCAAATATGTATTTTATATTATAATTACTACAAATATATATAATATATAATGTATTATAAGTATATTATATATTATAAATAGATAATTATAAATATGATATTATATATATACTGGTCGGCTCAGTTAATTGCCAGTTATTCTTTTAGGTTAACCAAAATCTAACCGGTACCATCGGTTTTTGAAAAACACCAAACTGATTGGTTTGGTTCAGTTTTTCGGTTTTTGTTGAGCGCCCCTACCATTCGATTTTTGAATACATGTCTGATTTTTTTCTTGTTAGAAGAAGTGGATTCACTTGATTGGCTGATATTTAAATGTCTTGGGTCATTGGTATATGTTTTGCAGTTATGTGCTTTGGTATTTTTGATTGCCAATTACTGTATCTGTTCTCCAGATTGCCAAGATGATGTTTGTAATGACCTACCAGTCTTAATATTTAATGTGTTCATTGTTGGGATTGTGTTTGTAATCTGAAGAGCTATACTCAAAGTAGCAAAGAAGAGAAGAGAACCACAGAACTGAAGAGAATGTCGAATTGTACTAGCCAGTCGACCAGTCTTTTATTTATAGATGGATGCAGTACAAGGTACAAGAAATTACTGGGATGCCCTTGATTAGTGATGGGACACCCAAATGACTTAAATCATTAAACAGGATTAGGTCCATTAACACAGGCCCAGTTACAAGATAAGTTAAACATAAGAATGGGCTAATAAGAACTCTTATCAGTCGAACATCACTCTAACATTCTAACACTCCCCCTCAAGCTAAGCATGGATATCAATCATGTTTAGCTTGCCAAGTATGTCCCTGAACTTTGTTGTTGCCAGCCCTTTTGTCAATACATCTACAATCTGCATCTCTGATGG